ATGGTTCCCCCGTTAGGTAGCTAGAAAAGTGCTTATATTTATTCCCTTAATTAAGTGAAGTTGGAATCTTTCTATTGCTTTTAAAATACAATTTAAGCTACTTTTATAACCGCACTAGTTGCATTCTTACCACTCCGCTCTACGCCTCTCCCTGTGGGACTCGGCTAAGAAGGCACCTGTTCTAGGATGTCTCAGTGCATGTACACGTACATGCACTCCCCTCGGGACTTTTATCTACTTCTTTTTATGAGAATCATCACAAGGAAGGATAGTTTTCTTCTTCCACGCCTCTTTTCTTGCTAAAGCACAAACTCCTGGTGGGCCGAAATGGAGACTTTATTCACTTACATGTCTCTGCTGCCTGGCTAATTCTGTACGTGAATTATTTAATTGATTTCACCTTGGAGAAAATTCCCTATGAGACAGGTAGCCATTACTGTCATGGGGATTTTATAGATGAGGCAGCCAAGGCAGGGTAAGATGAAATAACTTCTCTGTGGCTGCATGGCCCTGAGTTGCCGTGTCCAGGCTTGAAAGCAAGGCCCATGGAGTCCAAAACTCCTGCTTAACTCCCTTCAGACAGCCTCACAGCCTGTCTGTTATCTTTTGAAAATGTCCTTCGTATTTATTGTTTTCTCTCCATTTCCACTGGCAATGCTCCTGCCCGTGCCCTTCTGATTCCTCACCTAAACGGGTGCATATTTTTAAAACACTGCTTCCTCCCCACTTCTCCCATTCTGCACCTGCAGCCAGATTGATGTTCCAGAACCTCATTCTCCTCATGGAGATTTTCCTGTTCAATAGCCTGGGCTAAAAGCAAAATTGAATTCGAGAAAAGATACGAAAGCAACAACATTTATGGACAAAACCATGAATTGCTTCTTTCAATTAAAAAGAAACACTTCTAGCTAGTGTAATGAAAAGCGAGGGAGGAAGGGGGAGAAAACACGAATCTACAGCATTTAGAGTGAAAGATGGAGTCCAAGTCCAGGTTCAGAGAAACTTAGAACAATTGTCAGCCTATTCTATGTGCTACTTCAAGCTTATATCTTTGAAATTCAGGGACATATGAGAGTTTTTAGAAAAAGGTCCATCGTACAAATTAACTTAAGGAGAAAATTTGAACACACAAATAACTATGAACAAAACTGAAGAAAAGTTATCAAAAAACTACAACTAGGAAGGGTACTGTGCCCCTTTGATTTTAATAAGCAATGTTTTCAAGCAACTGATCATTATGATCATACTTAAGTGTTTCCAGACCATGGAAAAATATGAAAAGGTAATTAGAACTTATTTTGTAAAGCATGTATAGCATTGACATTTAAATCTGAGAAATATAAAACAATAACAATGGACCAATATCCTTGATGAATATTGTGGCGCAGGACTAGCTATTTATCAAGTTAATGCAGAGATACTGCTGGAAATGGCTGTTTAGCCAGAGAATACCTTCCTCAACCATATGTCCTACCCTCATGATGGAATGTAAGTGGAAGGCACGTGTTCATTTCCAGGTCGAGCCTTCTTAACAAGTGAGTGAGCCTTCTCCTTCTTTCTTTCCCCTTCACTGGATGTATTCAGAGGATAACAAAGATCTACGGCAGAGATTGCAAACTAAGTCCTGCTTGCCTGCTGCCTGTTTTTGTAAATAAAGTTTTATTGGCACACAGCCATACCCATTTGTTTACTTATTGTCCATGGCTATTTTTGTGCTATAACCTCAGAGCTGAGTAGGAGAGACAGAGACAGCCTGAAGTATTTACTATCTGGTCCTTTGAGAAAAAGTGCCACCCTCACTCTGGGGGATGGTAGAGCAACAAGACTGAAGGATCCTGCCATGGAGGACTAGCCGTGGAGGAAAACCCTCCCTGGGCTGTTTGTGAACAAGAAATAAACTTCTCTTGTTAAGCCGCTGAAGTTTTGTTGTTTGTTTTGCAGCTAGCGTTATCTCAACTAATAAGGAAATAGATGCGAAATCCCAAATAAAATACTAGAAATTTCTAAAAAAAAAATTACCGAAGATTTTTTCCAGAAATTCATGGAAGATTAGGAAAAATAACAATAGCATATTACGAGGTCAAAGAAGAAAATCTGTGTCATCACCTTTTCATACATTTTGGAAGCATTTTAAAAACTCAAAATCTATCTTGAAAACTACTCTTAGTGGAATAGGAATAGGGAAGTACTTCCTCAGAATATCTATCCTATAGCAAAAGCTTATATCATATATAGAGGTGAATGACTAGAGAAATTCCCATTTAAGAGAGAAACAAAACAAAAATATATGTTGTCATCAATATAACAAACATAATGACACAATATAGTGTTGCTTTTGAAGCACTGGCAATGCACCAATAATAATAGTATTCTGCTATGTAATAATTACTAAATTATATATTAACATAATTACTAAATTATAATTACTAAATTATATATTAACATATTATTTATTGCATAATACAAATTAGATGTGTTTTATATATTTCACATATATGATTTGATATATAAGATAAATATTTGTATATGATGTAGATATTTTATATATTAATAATAAAATATATACTATTTGATTTGTATAATATAGTGTATTTTGATTTATAATATATAATTTATATAAATTTATATGATTTACAAATATAAATGCATAATATATTTATAAATAAAATATACAAAAATTATATGCAATTTATGTTATTGATATATTATACATACTTTTAGAAATGATACTAATTATATAATATGTTAATACCATGACGTTGCTTTTCAAGTACCAGCCAGTGAACCAAGGCAGAAAAAAAATGAAGCAGGAAACAAATTTCCCCTATTTGTACTATGTGATTGTGCACCTAGGCAACTTGAAATGAACTGAGGAGCTATGGGAACTATTAAGGAAATCTTCAAAGATGCCCAGTTACAAAATAAATGTGCAGAATTAATAGGTTTCTCATTTCCTATATGTCAGCAATAATTGATATGACTTTACTTAAAAAAACCAGCAAACTTTCCTAAGAGAACTAAAAGACTTGAATATGTGGAGAGGGATAGTGTATTTCTACCTTGGAAGAATTTGTATATTTTAAACATATGAATTCACCATAAAGTAACCTATAAATTCACTGCAATTCCAAACAAAATTCTAACAAGACTGAAGTTGGCATATGAAAAACAGATTCTAATTTTTGCCTAAAATACACTTGTGAGAGTATCCAAGAAGCATTAGAAAAATCAGACCAATGTAAAGAAACTTGTAAAGACAGATACTAAGACAAATTATAACATACATCATAAAATTGTGGAAAAAATAAAACTAGACCTGTCTCTTAAACCAACTATTTAAATAATTTTAAATGCACTAAGGATTTAAATATAAAAATAAAAGTATATAAATATTAGAAGACAATCTAGGTGAATAAAGCCTATATTCTTGAGCTAGGAAATATTTTTAAAAAAACAAATTCAGAAACTACAGTGAAAAAGGTGAATAGAAATTAAAAACTGCTATAGGTAAAATCCACTACACACAAAATCAAAAGGCCAAGGACAAACGGGCAAAAGGATGTATAATACCTGTGACAGATCCAGGGTTAGCATTTTTCCCCCCAAATATAAATAGCATATACAAGCAGTATGAGAGGAACATGCCCAGCAAAAAGAAAGAGGAAAAGCCATGAATTTCCAATGATGTATAATCACATGGGAAAATATAATCTCACTATAAACCAAAGAATGCAAATTAAAAGGAGATCTTTTGCCTAGCATATAAAAAATAAATCATAAATTTACATGCATGCAACAGAGCGTTTTAAGAAATGATAAGAGATGCCCGATGGAGATTTTTTCTGTCTGAGATCGTATCGGAGTGAAGATGGAGACAGTGCACTCTTGAGTACCCTAAGCCAAGTTCAAAGGCGCAGGATATTTAGTGGGGAAGGAGAGAGAGAAGAGAGAAAAACGCAGTGGGATATTTAAGTGGGCACTGAGAGGTGAGTATATTGCCTATCCTGGAGTTGTTATTTTCGTATTTGCAGATTCCAAAGGCAAAATTCATGACCTCTGTAAAGCTGGGTGAGAGTGAGATTTTAGACTATGAATAAACGTGATGTTAAGTCTCACGATAAACTTAGTTTTGGATAAAATGCCCTTATATATACTTTTTGACAATGTGTCAAAACATTTAAATACATATTGCTTATTAGAGTCTATCGGTAGTTCTCATAGCTGTTTGTGGGCATAACTGGAAGACTGTGAGTTTGCCTATGGGAACTTTAAGCTCCCCTTTCTCCTTTTAACAATAATTTTTCCGGGTTCCACCCCAAACCCTCTATGAATAAACTCAGTACTTGCAGGCTGTTTGGGTCCACTGGTGTCAATTGTTCAAAAAGTCTGCAAAATGATTTTGTACAGTTTAAGACAGAATGAATGTCGTGTCTCCTCCTGGAGTATTTGTACTTTGGCTTCACGGGGCATGTGAGCGTGGTTGAAGAGTTTTCATCGTGTGACACGCACTTCACCCCCAGGAGCCTGCGAGCCGGGCAGGGTGTGTTTTGTCATCCCCATCTCAGTGAGGCCAAGTGACCTGGGCAACTGAGCTGGGAGCCCAGGTCTTCTGGTTTGGGGCCAGTGCTCTTTCCATTGTACTGCCTGCCCCCGCCCCGCCCTTTATCAAAGAAGAAGGCTGAAGAGGGCTGTAGTCATGACTCCTAAGTGATGGAACCTCGTAGGGGAGATGTTTTGAGGATTATGTCTGGTCAGGTTCTCAACCTGCCAGAGCAACTAGAGTAAAATTGGCTTGTGTTGACTTGACCCTACAGCGTACACGGATAGCAGTTGGAAGAAACCCCCAGGACCTGTGATTATGAGGAAAGCACTGGGACAACCATCATGGCATGGCTCTTGTCTGCAGAGAAGCCCCCACCTCCAAAGTCCCTAGTGCGTCAGAGCTCAGGCTGCCCCGGATCTCGGGTGCCAGGGACAGGCATGAGATATGCTCCAGCTACCTTTTATGGCCTCTTTCACAGCAGAATCCACAGGGAGAATGTTCTTCTCCACCAGCTCCAGTGGCCCTGGTCGGAGAGCGATTTTTTCATTGAGATCGTCTGCAAGTCGGGCTCTTTTCAGCTTCATCTGAGCAGTTGGAATGGACCTCTCTGCAGTGGAGGCTGAGGGGTTGAAGTTTGAAGTGAAAAGGATCAGTTCTAGAATTTGATTTGGTTTCTCTTTTCTTTTCTTTTCTTTTTTTTTTTTTGGCTTGTGGTTACAAACATTGTGTCACATTGTACTCTACCATCCTAATAATTTTTCAATGTAATCGTCATCACTTCACAAGAATTAGCACCAAAGACCAGACACTTCCAAATAAAGGCAAACAGAGAGGAACATAGAAAAGTTAGAGAAACTTGCCTTGCGAGGATTTGTGAAAAAATGTGCAATTTAGCAATTTTGTAAGCAAGCAGTCCATGGGGCCTGCGTTGCTTGCCTGACCCTAAGCTACAGCATTTGGGTGCACATTCGGTTGACAGGCGCAGGCTGAGCCCGCGGTAAATGTGATCTATTGTCAAAATTAGTAGTCGTAGTATGATTTTTGAAGAATGTTAGACTGGTCGACGCTGTGATACTGAGTCAAATATCCAGGTCAGTTGTAAAAGAAAAATACATTTGTTTGAAACAGTTATTTAATTGAAGAATGGAATTTTTAAAAATTGAATTTTCTCATCATTTGAGAGGTGAGAAACGTCATGTACAGAGCTCTAAATCTATCCCCATGTAGCTGACACCAAAAATTCTCTTTAGATTGGGCTCTGCCTTATTTCTGTGGAAGAACTCGAAGGAAAATCAAGTCAAAGAAGTGTAAGTTCAGATTCTACAAGAGTTTGCAGCTTCACTCTCTATTGCACACATTTAGAAGATGAGATATTTACAGACAGGACTCTCAGCCCCATTAATCTGTCATTATCAATCTCCTAACCCATACTTTGTGTCTGGCACTGATCTAGAATTCTCCATGCAGAAGAGGTCTAGGGATGGCTCATTGGTTGCAACAGATCGGCCTTGTCTAGAAGATGCATCTGCGAAGCACTTCACTTGAGACTGAGGAAATGTCAGTACTCCAAACCAGAGAACAGGGGAGCCTCAGCCTGAAATCTTCTCCAAGCCACCCCTTAGAGGTGCATGCAAGGGCTTGTTGCTGGACCCCATCCTGCACACCAACTCAGGACTCATCTTCAGAAAGTCCTCCTTTCTTTTTGTACCCCCCTACGAGATGCTCCCCGCCATCCAAGTCTCTTGGTTCAGTTTTTCTTTTTCTTCTTTTTTTTTTTTTTCCAGTTTTTCAAGATTACTACAAACTGAATCCACCTCCCGTCATGACCTGTGCTCTCCATCCCAAATCTAGCACTCCAGAGAGCCTGGTCTTTTTCCATCTGCCCTCCACGTCTTACTGAGTTCACCTTTGCACCTTTGCTTACTTCATTTCTGCACCTTGAACTGCTCCTCCCCCACTGCCCACCACTAACATCCTACTTTTGGGTCCCAGCATAAAGCTTTCCAAATTCTCTCTGTTCTAACAGATCCCTTTTGCTTTTACTGCCTCCAGCTGCTACCAGCACTGGCCCTTCATCTTGCTGTTTCTGAAATTAGAGGATGAACTACTGGGGGCAGGGGTTGAAATTGCCCTTTATAATATTAATAAAAGGCCATAACATAAGGTGGGTACTGCGCTAGGGGCCTGAAGTCTGCAAAGGTATAGGCATATACATGTACATGTACATATACATACATACATATACAGTGCCATTGTTCCCTGGCTTGCTCTTCTATAATTGTTCACTACTCAGGAGTCACATAGCTGCTGGTCACCAAGATTCTTAGCTTTCTTCATTGCTCCCATGGATAACATCACCCTTGTGAAACCTAAGCCTGATCTTTGAGATATCTTCCAGGCCCTGCATTCCAGTGGACCAACTGACCCAACCAGACCAGTGGCCCATACCAAGGAACTAACTCAATTGGTCTTGTGACCTCGGAATTGACTCAGCACAAGAAGATAATTTCTGCCTCCCGACCCTATGAGTTCATCCCCAGCCAATCAGCAGACCCAGTTCTCTAGCCCTTTGCCCACAAAACTATTTTTAAAAACTCTGGCCCCCAAATTCTCAGGGAGGCAGATTTGAGAAGGTCCTCCCATCTCTTTTCATGGCGCCCTGCAATATTAAACTCTTTCTCCACTGGAACCCCTGCTGTCTCCGCCTACTGGTTTCCTGTTGAGCAGTGGGCAACGAATCTGGTCGGGTGGTAACAGGGTTATTTTGTATCTAGCAGATCTTTGGTGCTCTGAGGGGCTCATTTCCAATTTCTGTTGGGGAGAAGATGGGATCCCATGAGAGCCACCAGAGATGTGGCACTGAACCAAGGGCTGCTGTGGTCCACACCCTGATATTTTAATTCAAGATTGTCATGATGTAAGAAATAACATTTCTTATGCTTTTTGGATTATAGCATTGCTATGTACTCATAAATGTGCAAAATGCTAAAACAGTATCCCAAAACAAAAACGAAAGGCTCAGGAATCTCCCCATTTAGAGTTAACTATTTTTAATACCTGGGTATATTTCTTAGCATTTTATATTTATTATTGGGTCTGTGTTTTTTCTTCCCAGAATCTGACTGTAACTACAATATATGTTTATGTATATATTTTTTCTTCCCAGAATTTAGCTGTAAATATAGTTTTGTTTACTCCTCTTTTCACTGGATGTTATCTTGTAAGCCTTTTCTCATGAAATCACTGTTCTTTGAAAGCCCTGTTTGTAGCTGCTGCCTGGTATTCAATCACGTGGATGAGCCACACTTTATTCAGCCAATCCCCTGTTGTCGCACATTTCACCGTTTTCAATGTTTCACCATCTAAAGTAATTCCCTGATAAACATCATTATAACAAAAATCTTTGTATATCTGATTATTTCCTTCATACAAAATACTAGACATTATATGACAGGGCTAAGGTGGGCACTTTTTTAAGGAGTCTGATACACTTTGCCAAACTGCCCCCCAGGAACGCTGACCCAGGGGCACCCCCACCAGCAGTGCACGACAATGTGTGCACTTCCCATACCCCACCACACACAGGATTTATTGTTATTTGCTAACTTGATCATCGAAAAGCCTGTGTCTCATTTGAAATGGCATTTCTTGGATTATTTGTGCAGCTGTGACTTTGTGCTGACATAGCAGTTGCTTCTAGGCTCTTAGAAGGTAAGAATTTTGTCACCTCGCTGAGAGCCTTCATTCCCTGTTCCTGAGACGCTTGGCATCCTTTGGCTGCCTCACGCTGGTCAAAGCCTCCCATCCCACACAGTGCTTCCCTTGAGTCCTACGTTGTCCTCCTTCTCTCTCTTCCCTACCCTGAAAACAGTTCTCTGTCTGATGATACCCCACCTATTCCTGGGCTGGAAAAGGGTCAGCCTTGGAAAGGCAGAATAAAATCAGAAATGATGCTGGTCAAAGAACCAAGACTGAAAGTTCCCATCATATTTCAGGACCTTTCATGCTACTTAGAGCTAGTGAACAGTCTTGCAAGGAAATCCATATTCCAGAGGAACAGCACTTATGTCTCGTACATGCTGTTCCCTCATGCTGCGACGCCCTTGCGTCCTTCTCTACCTGACTCGGCCCATACATTCCAGCTCATTTCCTTGCTCCTCCCCCTCCATTCTGATTCTCTGACCCTCCCTAGCACATCCCAACACTGTGCGTTTCCTCCCGTTTCCTGCTGGATTGTAAATGTGATTCTCATGTCCTTTGTTATACTGTGAGTATCCTTTGAGAGCAGGAACTTGTGCTTTGTTCGTCACTGTACCCACGAGGCCTGGTAGAAAATGCCAACTCCTAGTAGACATTGAATGCAGAGTGTATTTAGTGAATAAAGACCCCCAAACTGTCAAATTAGAGGTTGGATCTCTTTGAAGGTGGGCACCAATGGACTGGGGAGGGTGGTCCTTGTCCCAGGGAAGGCAACTCATCAGGCAGGAGTAGAAGCCTCTCCTCCTCATCCAGATGTCAGAATGTGGCGGCCAATTAGGTGTTTGTCTTGTCTCACACTCCCCAGCACAGAGGCAGCACCCTAAGATGAAACTGGGCCCACTTTGACCAGCACCCATTTTCTCAGATTGTCATTCCGTGCACACCGGAACATAAAGGCATCAGCAAAGCACAATCAGACGGTTCCCTAGTGGGGACAGATGCAGCTAGGAAGCTCTGATACCATCTTAAAGTGAGTGATGATCCACATTAATAATAATAGGCAACATGTGTTGGACATTTCCTATGTGCTCCAAAAGGTGATGTGATTTCCCAGGCCTTAGAATTAGGAGATGGCACAGCCAAGATTGGAACCCAAGTCTCAAACCTTCTTAACTGTTATATGGCTTCCTAATTTGATTGTCTGTGTGGCCTAGGATGCTCAGATGACTGCTTGAAACCACCATTTTGTGATGGCAGGGGAGATTTTTAAGAGGGCTTAGCAACGGTGCAGAGACAAAGAACACTGGAGAAATGGCCCACCATTCGACAGGCATCTCCTGGTTTATGATTTCGTGCAGCCTTACCTTGGAGTATATGCATATTAACCAAATCGGCACGGTCAGACCTGTTTCGGGCTTTGTGCTTCAGGGAATTTTCAGTCTGTAAAACCCAAACAAAGAATCACCTAGTTTTACCTTTTAAGAAAAGCTCAATTTCTCTCAAAGGGGAAAAGTTCTATTTTTTAATGACAAATGAAACCTGCAACTTCCCTGGTCTCCCACACTTTGAAAAAGAAACACTTACGAAGGCCCTTCCAGGAATTTTCATGTGGGAAGATAAGAGAAAAAGGTAAAAATTTGGGGTACACATCAGGGCTACGAACTCGGAGGCCTTCCAGGGCTAGGCAGATAGGTACATGTTAAGAAAATATTAATGTAACAGTTCATGGTACTAAGCTGCTTGTATTATAATCAATCTTATTCCACTGCCTCTTAAAGTGGTCATGAAATTAATCCAGGTTGGAGATGAAATATTGCCCAAATCCATCCCACATAACATGACAACACATGCTTCTGTCCTGTTACTCGCCTAGCGGACGTGGGAAAGCGTAAAGCCTGCAGATTCAGACCCACTGAGAGTCGGAAGGGCCTTTAGAGATAGATCATTTGCAGAGCCTCATCCTCTTCTTGAAGGTGGAGCTGTCTGCAGGGATGCTGTAGAGTATGTACAAAATTTCCCCCTCAAATGTTAAAAAAAAGTAGGGAAATAAACATTCCTTTTGCCATCAAGTAGCTGTAAATAAGCTCTGTATCCACAGACCCTGCCTTGCCAATAAATTGGATTTAAACAAATCCGATCACTGCTAAGAAAGGACTGTACTAACAGGTAAGGCAGCTTACAAACCAACTTTACTTCCCTTCTTGAGGTCTCTTTGACCTCTAGTGCGTACACACTGTGATTTCTCCCAACATCAGGAAGATTTGGGACATTTTTTTAAAAGCTAAAAAAGTAGCAGTTTTAAAGCTAATATAGTTGATCCCGTTTCTACAGGTTTCAGTTCATAGGAGTAAGATTCCATATGATGTGGGGGCAGGGAACTGGCAAATGGATTGAGTTTGTTGTAGAAATCCTACATGCGTCAGGTGAAGTTTAGCATTCAGAGATCGGTAACACATAGTCTAACTTCAGGAAGGGCGTTTGCAAAAATTACCTTGTCACTATCCAAATTTTTTCTTTGCTCATGGAATTCAGTTGGATTTTTCAGTGCTGAAACAGAAAGACAAAGACATGAGCAGAGGCTGGGTGAGGGGCATGGATGAGTGTCGTGGGGTTTGCTAGTGTGCTTGCTGAGCTAGGCACAGAATGGAGGCGATTCCCTTCAACAGGCCACAAGCAATCAAAAAGGACAGGCCTGAAGGACGCCAGCGGCCCTGAAGCCATAGGAGGCAGAGGAAGGTGGAACTGAGGCTTCAAACAGAGGGAGCAGCAGAGGCAGAATGTGCAACAGGAAGAGAAGTGCTGGAGGCAGGGCATTCCAAGTTCCCGAGGAAATAGAGGGGCTGGTGGGAAACTGGGCACAGAAGTAACACTCTTGTTTGGGGGCGAGGGGTAGACTGGGGTAACTAACACCCTCTTTGACTTTGCTCTGCCCTTGAGTGCAGATGCTGGCTGGGTGGATGGCTGTTTTCTGTGTGTGGGGGCGGGCGTGGGGCCTTGGCTTACTGTAGGGAGGGACTGTACTCTGGATAAAGGACGTGGCTGGTAGGTCAGGGACATGCAACCAAGGGTGTTGAGTGAGAAGCAGAGAATCAGACTTTGAGGGCTGGAAGGAACCTTAGAGACAGGGAAGTCTAACTCCAACCCTGAACAGAATGGGGAAACTGTGGTCCACAGAAATGGAATGACTTGCCTGGGGTCACAAAGTTAGGGCTAGGAGTGTGGGTCCTCTGACAACCCTAATTCCTTTAGAAGTGTAATATTTAAAAGATTAACAGCCAGTAGACACAGAGACTGGTCAGTCGTATATAACACATAGCAGCCGTGAGCAACCTGGACTGAATGCCAGCCTCCAGTCTTTCCACTACATCCTCCTCATCACCGTTTCACAGCCACCTCTTGCCGGTGACTTGGTAAACTCCTTTGACCGGGCAAAGAAGAAGAATATCATTCTGCAAAATTCTACGTTTTGCATTAATTTTCCTGGTCCCCTGGAACAATCTCAATCAGGAACCACACATAATCATTTCATAGTAAGTGATGAGGTTGATCAGTGGTTACAGAATTGCATTAATTTTTTTTCCCCCATAAATTTTAAGTTTAGACGAGTTGATGAATCGCATGATCCAGAGCTCTAATATCACCCTAACAGATGTCCACCTTGAGCTCCAGGCAATGAAGTATTTTTCCAAATCTTGGCCAGCATAGAAATTAGGTTCTTAGCCAGATCTGTGTGTGTGTGCTTGTGTGTGTGTGTGTCCATGCACACCCACACAAGTGTGCCTCATTCAACCCTTAAGACCATGCTAAATCTGAACATTGTTTTCAGCAGGGCTTGCTGGACACCATGCAGACGTGGCTGTGGTCCTGGTGGCCACCATAATGGTGGTGGACCGTATTATACTCTACCAGGATGCTGCTTAGAAGTTAACACGACATGCTCTCTCTGGATCTCCCTGCTCACTCCAACATTGACAATATTGACCACAGGAACATGCAGAATAGTCCCAGATGGCTGCCTTGTGCCAAATATAGTTGATAGGCATGCTTCTCCTCACCTTGACCAAACATTAAGAGGTTCCCTTTTTATAGGAAAAAAATGAATATGTTGCTTGAATATTACATTTCCCTGTGATCTGGAAACTGATTTTCCAGTTTCTCTTTGATTGCTGCTTTTCACTCTTAAAATGGGATTCTCTGTAAAACCAGTCATTTTAGACGGTGTTTTTCCTCCCCATTTCTTGCTACTCGGTGATTCTGAGAAATAAATGTGCAGCTCCACTGCGTTGCTCATGCATTTTCTTTGATTTGGGTCTGGTCACCAATAATAAGGAGGCTTGCCTTTCCCTACATTTGATCACAGTTGGAGTTTGTGCTGAGGGTGTTCTGAAGGCAGTTCCCATTTCCCCCAGGCAACCAGATTATGCAAGGTCTGGTTTAAGTCTAGTGGGCCCTTGTGAATCTGTACAATGTATACCAAGAGATCTGCACTCTCATCCCATTGCCTGGTAGGCACTTAGTTAGGTGTTATATATTGGAGTAGCTTAATTACTTGAACAATCCAGAAAAGGAATTGATCTTGGTGTGGCCTTATTAAGTGGTTAAGAATAATAACATATCCTTTTCCTTAAGAAGCTCCCCGAAGGGAACCGTAGGAATATATCTTAAGATATCTCTCTTACATTCCAAACACAATTGGTTTTATGTGGGCTTCAGACTTAGGGGGATTTTATCTGGTTTTTTTGTCCCTGAGGCTATTCAATTCTTATTACCAGAGCTTATTAATTGTTCTAAGAAACACTGCATTTCCTGCGTCTTAGCTTTGTAGAGCTACAATTCATCGCTTCTTGATGTTAACAACTCCCCTGTAAATGATTCACACAGTCTAGTTCTCTGATGCCAGGAACATAAAGATCTTCTGGAATCTTCTACCACAGGGCGGGAGAAACTATGCCCATACAGTAAGGACTTAGGAAGAAAGCCCAAGTGGTCCACATGCTGCATTTTACCACATGCCCTTCTCCTCAGGGCTTAAGGGGTGCTATATGGGGCACTGGCTTGAGGTCACATCATGGAAAACTACCCTGTCACGGCCCTGGGGTTGAGGTTGGCCTTCTCTGTGACTCTGGAGATTCTGGGTTTGAGCCACCTCCCCTGAGGGCCAGCAAAAGCCATGATGCACCCTGCTCCCTGGTGGACTTTTTGGAAAATACACGAAGGATCACATTTGCTGCCAGCCAGCCCTGGGAATATCTAATGGCAAAATTTTGTATTTAGAGGACATTGACATTTAAGATTGAAAAAGGAATTTGGATTTCTAAATTAAAAAAACAAGTCCATGTGATGTCAAATTAAAATACTGTTGCAGATTCAGTCAGCCACACAGCTAACTCGTTCCCCTGGAGGAAGATTAATCTCTCCTCACAAGGGAATTCATGTTCTCGCCTCAGAGTTTCGTTGCGGGCTATTCCTATTTCTGTCCCCAGAGCTCTGGCTAATTTGGGTCAGCTGTGTGTATAAACATTTGCTTACTTAAGAGCTTAGAAAAAGATCCTGAGATAAGGACAGGCCTCCCGCAGTCCCCCACTCTCCATTCGGACCTCCTGCCTCCAGCAGGATCCCAGACAAAGGAGAAAACAGGCCGTAGGGACACTAAGTACCCAGAGAGGGCAGTGCCCAGCTCCTCAGCACAGGGTGGGTGCCTGGTGCAGGGCCCAGCTTCGTTCAAGGGGACCCCTCACTACCAGGCTTGGAGAGAACCCAGCTCCACTGCTACTGAGAGGACCAGGAGGCAGAATCAAAGAGCCAGGGACGTGGGGCAGCAACCCGTGCAAGGTGTGGCCCTGGACCAGCATCCTCAGCATCAACTGGAGGCTCATTAGAAATTCCAATTCTTGGGCCCTGACCCAGACCTACATAATTGGAAGCTCTGGGGGTAGGTAGGACCCAGGGTTCTTTGTTTTAACAAGCCTTCCAGATGGTTCTGATCTGCATGTTTGAGAAAATTTCAGTGGAGTTTTATAGGGCCAGTGAGTCCTGATCTAGGCTCCTTGGCAATCTAGGAGTTCAAAATGGGAGCAGTGGATTGCCAGGACTGATTCTCAGTATTTCAAAAAGCTGAAGGGAAAGGGAATGCTGCCCAGAGCAAGATGCTTAGGCTAAGGAAGCCATCACTTTCCATGGCTGCTACCTGGCACCGTGGCAACTTGCTGTGGTTATGGTTGTTCTCATCAAAACGCACTGGCTGGTAAATTTACACACCACTAGTTAATTTTAAAAAATTGTACCATCAATTAATTATATACCAAAAATTAATTAATTAAGCACCATAAAATTAGTTAATTATTAAAATGATACATGGATTAATAATTAATGTATGTAGAGTTCTTCAGGGGGAAGAAAAAACTATTTCAATTATAAGACCTATGGCAGTGATGGCTATGATTAAAGAAGTCCTGGGTGATTAAGAATTTGGGAACTGTCTATTTGGGCTGTGTCCTTTCTCTGCCATCTATTTTTGCTATAAACTTGAGCAAGTCTGATAGTCTTCTTGTGCTCTCAGTTTCTTACTTATAAAATGGACTTTGTCATGTTTGTCCTCTCTTTGGCTTGATTTTACAGACAACTTGGATTGTGAGCACTTTCCTTCTGAGCAAATGGGATACATGCTATGTATCTTGATAAAGCTTTGGAAATTATATTTTCTCTTGATGTTGGTGATAAATTGCTTATTCAGTACCCCAATGATAGTCTTAGGAGTCTGAAAACAGTGCATTTTCCCAGCATAGCTTTGTAATGTTTAAGACCTGGTTTGCACACTTGCAAAATTTGATGCAACATATGTGGGGATTTTAGAATTTCTCAGAAGAAGGGTACAGAGACAAATTCAAAGTGTTGCTGTCATTACTGCTTTTCTACTTTCTAAGGAACAGGGAACTGGAAAATTGAAGGAGAGATGGGAGAAAAGAAGGAAGGTAGGATTGTTGACCTGAAATCCAAGGCACTTTTTCCTGTCTCTGAATTTGAGATGTTAGAAAGAAGGGAAGAGGCAGATGGATTAATCCCCTTGTGCCGTGTACTGCTCAAACAGCCGACAGTGTGTGGTAGGGTGCTGTGGGGGAGAAGCCAAGTCAAATGAATGCACTGAGCAAAGGAAGAGAGACTTTGTCCAGGCAACTTCTCAAAACTATCGTGAAGCTGCATGTGGTGTGGGTGCAGGAACTGCCCCGCTCATTCTTCTTGCTATTCAGAAGTATCACAGAATTCAGGGATTTACCAAGGCTTTGCAGTAAATATGTGGCTGCTGTAGCTTGGATTAGTCTGCAAAAAAAATAAAGGCAGCACCGTTCATAGACAGCTCATGTATCTTTAAGTTCATTTACATCGATCAGATCATGGAACCAGCCTGCCCAGACATTTCATTCTGGCCAGCGGGGGCTTTCTCTGAGACTCTGTGGACAGGCAGCATTCTCTCTGAGCCCTCTAAAATCCAAGTTAGTTCTCTAATCCCGTCTCTGTTTTCTGGGAGAATGAGTTAAACATTCTCTCCTCTCTCCCCTGGTTCCACCCCATGGACTCACTTTAGTGCCAGAGGGAGAGGGAGAGGAAAAGTAACCTTGCCTTCAATCTTCCTGGACACCCACTCTCATGTAGTGGCGTGAAGTTGTCCAAAATTGTTAATGGGCACAATTAAATGGGAGTGATTTAGGGACATTTCTAGGCTGTAAGCCCTTTGAGACAGAAATCATGACGGTCTCCTCTGTATGTGTTCCTCTGAGCCTTTCTCATAGACAATGATTAATACATATTTACTGAAGTGCTCTATGACCATTTTACTGAGTTCTCAATAGCTAGTCATCCTTCTACGCTAAGGCTTCTGAAGTGGTTGGAATAAAATGGTGTCATTTAAGATTTTACCCAGGAAAGTAATACCCAGGGAAAAGAATTGTAGGAGAGAAAATTTGCATAAGACAAGGTGAACAGACTCGGTAGGTCTAGGGGAGATTGGCTCTGACTTAAAGCCATGAGAAAGTAGAGATCTTTGACATCTCGCAGCCTTGAGCCTGCCAGGGAGGGACAGTGAAGCCATTCCCTTTGAAGCCTAGGTGATGGTGGCAAAGTAGGCAATTCGAAATTTCCCTGTTGAGATTCAGAGGTGGGATTTTGGAGAGAAGTTCAAATCATAAGGAAGTAATATTTGTAAGTTAACTTTGAGAGAGTCTATTTCATTAAGATTTCATGGCTATTTTGAAAATGTGAATTTCACAACTGATATTGTAAATGCTCCTGGCCTGAGAACCCTTTTCTTACTGCTTAAAGTTGTTCTAGGGGTTCAGTGCTGGCCTCAGAGCCCTGCCCATCTTGAGTCAAGAGATGGTGCCTTTAAATTCATTCAAAGCACCTGAAGAGGGGAAATTCTAAACTCAGTGCACACAAATAAGAAGGAAGTAAATGCTTAAGAGAAGTGATTAAGGGATATCAAAAAAGAATTTGTTGCTGGTTGCAATGGACTGTTTGTTACTTAGCAGCAACCTCGAAATCTGTAGGGTGCATGCCCAGGAAGAGGGAAGGAAGAAAATTTCAATCCAATTGGACTAGTTTTACTAGTCAACTAAAAATTACACATGATTCAGCTTAGTAGAGTCAGTGGGGAACTCTTACAATTTAATCATTAATTTAGAGTGCAGCTGAAACTAGATCTGACATATAGCTTAGTCAGTGGGATTTTTCATTCACTGTTGGTCATGGCGAGGTGTAGAGCATGATGCAGCCATTTTATTAAAACCCAAAGCCATTTTATTAAAACCATGGGTTTATCCTTGGAATTTTCACACATTACTTTTTTTTTAATTTACCAATTTCTAACTGAATTTTTTGGCCACAAAATACTTTATGACAGCAATCTAAGTATGTTTTTTTAAAGGTCAAGTGATTCCTCTTGAACATTTGAGAAAAGGGGCCTAAGCAGGGATCGGGAGACATAGGCTTTGGCCTCAGCTCCTCCACAATAGGAGGGGATGACATTTTTTCCAATGGATAAACCTTGAAGGTTTAACCTAACGTAAAACTCAAGGCTAATTCAGCCGAAGGATGGCAAGTATTTCTGTTGACCAGTTAAAAATAGTACTGCTTTCTGATAACAACCTAAGGACCATTAACAACTTACTTGGCCATCAGCTTTGAATTTAGGCAATTTATGACAAGTTTTACACTTTGGGGGGGGTTGTAATTATTTCAAATCTTATGGCTAGAGTGAGATTTTATGAATCATTTTATCTTGCGTGCATATAACTTCTCATAAATCAAAACTATAGAAAATGAAACCACATTAGATCTGGCTTTGGGACATCAGAAAAATCTCTTAGGCCTCCTCAACCTGAGTTTCACGAACATTCAAGATAAATGGGGTTTGGGCTAGGTCAGGGGTTTTCCAGCACGTTTCTGAAGAGAAGCAGCACTCCGGAGAGAATTCTCAGTGGGCTTCGGGAAGGGACAGGAGAGGTGGAGTAAATGGGGCAGAGGCCTCTGACGCCGTTTCAGCCGCTGCACGTGTGTGTGTGTGTGTGTGTGTGTGTGTGTGTGTGTGTTTGTGTGTGTGTGTATGTGTGTGTGTGTATTATCTGAGATTTCTTTAACAATCAAAAACATTTAAAAAAACACAGAATTAGGTAATCTCTGAGGACTATTAACTTTTCTTCCTTCCTTTCTCCCTCCTTTCCTTGCTCCTTTCCTCTTTCCTTCTGTTTCAAAAAATGCAAGTAATAGAATGAAGGAGTAAAAACGTCCTCTTGCGGGATATGGTCCACACTGAATTACACTTCTGTGTGTTTCTTATCACTGTTTCCCCTAATACCTTGAATCTCAAAGAAGGACCATCTTGCTCATTAGTGTTGTCCCTGCAGTGCCTGGCACAGTTCCACGCACATAGTCTAGTTTGTAATAACATATGTTGAATTGGATAGCATTGAAAATCCCGAGACTCTTGACTCTTTGCTTCTCCTGATTGTTTGCATTTCCACATGTGCCCTGAGGAGCGTGCTGCTCTGCACTGCAGGTAGGTTGCGTGTTCAGTCTCTGAGCGGGGTGAGGAGGCTGACTGTCAGCAGGGGAAGAGTGTCATCCCGGGTCTAGCTTTCCGAGACGAGCTGAGCAGAAAAGGTCTGCCCAGGCAGGGCCTGCAGTGTGCACCTGCTGTGGCTTGGACGCTTTTCCACACCCAAATCCACACCCTTGGAAAGCCTGGTTGAGAGGACACTAGGGAAAATCTTTATCATTTTGCTGAATGAAAAACAAAGATCATTTCATTATTTGCAAAACTTTTTTCCAGAAATTATCTTAATGATGCAATGGTCTACAGATGCAAAACTTCTGTTAAGCAGTGTGTTGTTAATGTCTACGCTATTTGCTTCTGGAAATCCTGGAGGAAAAATATCTCCATTGGACACCACTGTACAAGTGAACATTTGGTTTACATAACTTACTTACATGAGAGGTGTTATTTAAAAAAGTTATTATAGGGTTAGTCACTATCTTCACTGGATATTTTTACTGATTCCCAGATTTAACTCTATGTACTTAAGAAAAAAAATGTTTATTTTCATCCAAATGCCAGTGGCAAGACCCTGGCTCAGAATATTTAAGCACATGGGTCTAGCTTTAAATCAGTGCGAACACTTTGGGCTGACTGAACGAGGACCTCAGCAGGGTCTGTCAGCTCCATTTGCCTTCCCTTAGTGAGGGGATAGAGTCTCAGGTTGAGTGAAATTGTGTTTGGCTGACCTGACATCTGCAGACTTTTGGTTTGTCTCTGTCTTTAGCATCTCAAAGGAGGGGCTAAGATGAAACAAGCCACACGTAGACCTGCTTCTTTTTTTCCTTAGCATGGTTGTGAGTGTTGCTTAAACAGCCTTGACACTGCAGGGTGAGCTGTTTCTTTTGTGCTTGGCAAACCTCTAACAATGGTTCCACTGTAAGGTCACCTACTGTTTCCTGTTTGTAGGCCTTAGCCATTAACAAAGAATTACTTTTGAATTACAGAAGGAAATGCCTGAAAAATTCTTCGTTCTGTGCTGGCTCTGAAACATAGACTATCCTTAAAATTTTTAGGCTAGGAGTCATAGGGCTTCAATATCGCTAACCTTAAGACAATTTGTCAAGGGCAAACTTCCACTTGTTGCATACTAAACTCTGAATAGTCATGAGTCTCATGACAGTATTATACAGAGACCTGGATTTCTGCGAGAGCCATTATGGATCATGATTTTTAAATTTTGTTGGTGGTGAAGTTAGAATGTATGAGCTAGAGCAGCTTAAACTGTGACTTTATGCATCCAGGGCATGCTTTTCCCTACTTCCATAGCTAACCAAGAGTTAGCTTTAACTGCTGAGCGGTAGGAAATTTCAAATATATCTTCTAAAAGATACGGTAGTCCTTCTTCTTTGACCCAGATTATGGCCAGGATTTCAATATTATATCGTTTATGCTAAAGCGGTATTGCTACTCAATCTTCCAGAAAGGAAACACTTGACAATATTCAATTACCTGTGGGCGTAAATACCCCCAAACAGACCTGGAAACGAGGAGGTAAGAAAAAGATTGTGTGATCGATACTTCTGAAAAGAATAGTGATTATATCCAATTTTAAAGGTAAGAGAAGGCTGGAAGATGCCCACAGTGAATTACGTTTACCCTGAGAACAAACTCATCACATTGGGATTTTAGGCATAAGCAGTATCATTAAAAGAAAACCCCTTGCAGGTGAGTAGGTAGCACCTGAGACAAAGCACCTGAGGGCTGAGATTTCTGCTGACACAGATTCTCTGAAGATCATGGGAGACCAATACACTGTTTTAGACTAAATGGCCTCTGAGGCACTTCCCAGCTCCCAAGTGACATGGTCCTATGGTAGCGTATCAGTAAATGAGAGAGGCAGGTACTCACGTGATATTATGCCTTGGTTAGCCAGCTGTTCCTGGGTCCTCCTCTGTTGAAGTCGTAGCTGTAAAACTTAGAAAATGAAGTGTTAGTTTGTGAGTGGGGCTAAATAGGATTAGAATCCCATATTTTCATCATACTTTCATAGGTCTTTTCATTTTATTTCTAGAATAGTTCTGAAAATTACTATGAAGTACATTTTTATTTCTGTGGTAGACACAGAGAAAGGAGGAGGGGAGAAGCTGACGGGGTTGCAGGGTTTTGCAGCAAGTCTGTGCCAAGCGAGGATTAGAATACTGGTCTCCTCTTTGAAGTGAATGTTATTTTCATAGCGCTACACTCCCTCTCTCCCTGCTATGTCATTCGCAAGATGAATATCATCAAATTCTGCTTGGGTGGCAGCCTGTGATACCAAAAGGGCATTCAGAGTCTCACCTGGGTTCAAATCCCAACTCTGCCCCCTTAATAGATGTATAATCCTGAGTGGCTACTTGAGAATTGTCAATAGTGAACAAAATCGGGCAGATGATAGATGGGAGTTCGAACTTGGAGAAGTGTCTTACATGGGGCTAAGTTTCCCTTTTTGAGGAGCTTTGCTCTGAGAGTGGGCTGTTGTCATGAAGTGGCAGATCACAGGCAACTAAAACTCTAATAATAATAATAATAATAAAACCCATGCTCATCTCTCTGACCAGAGGAATTCTGAAAAAGTGGCCAGACAACATGGTGACCATCAGAAAATGATGGGGGAAATCACGCAGGGAAGAGAGCTGGAGAAAGAGGAGGTTCCCCCAATTCTGCACATGAACTGTGCAAGTTTTAGGTTGACCCCTTAATGACTTTTCCCTGGAACAGACTCACAGCAGCATAGCACAGGCTTAAAATTAAACTGAGATTTGAACCTTCATACACATAGACAAGAGAGAGCTTAAAGTTTGTATCTACCTAGATGAATCATCTGCTAAAATAAAAAACATGAGTTTTTTATTTCCAGAGGACTGTAACAGAACTCAGAGTCTACATAACAGAAGACTCACAATGTCCAACATACAATCTAAAATTACACACAAAAAACTTGGAAAATATGACCCATTTTAAACAAAAAAGATAATAAACAGATGCTAACCATGAGATGAGCCAGATGTTGGAATTATCAGACAAGGACTTTAAAGTAGTTATTTCAACGTTTTCAACTATGTTCAATAAAGTAAAAGAAAGCATACTTGAAATGAGAAAGGTAAGAAATCTTCGCAGCAAAATAGAACACATAAAAAGAAACCAAATGGAAGTATTAAAACAGTGTAACATCTGAATCGAAAAAATTATTGGAGAGGTAAAATAGAAGGATATCAGAGGAATGGGTCAGTAAACTTGAAGATACATCAGACTGAAGAAGAGAAAAGAGGTGAAAAAAATGAACAGAGCCTCAGGGGCTTGTATGACAATATCTAAAAGTCTAACATCAGGTAATTAGAATTTCAGAAGAGCAGAGGAAGAAATAATGGCTAAAAACTCCCCAAAATTTTTGAAAGAAATAAATTTACAGTCTTAAAAAGTTCGAAAACCCCAAACCTGAAATATTCACAGAAAACCACACTGAGATACCTAATAATCTCATGGCTAAAAAATCAAAGATAAAGAAAAAATCTTAAAAATAGTTAGGGAAAACACATTCTATAAAGGAAAATATTGGTTTAAATAACCACAGACTTTTCTCCAGAAACCATAGAAGCTAGAAGATAAAAAGCAAAACAGAAACAAAAGCAGAAAAACAAAAAAACTGTCAACAATAGAAAATGTCCTCTAGGAATGAAGGTGAAATAAAGATATTTTTAGGCAAAGAAAAAATAAGATAATTTCCTGCCAACTGACTTCACTGCAAGAAATGCTTAAGTAAATTCTTCAGGATGAAGGGAAATGATACCAGAAGAGCACCTGGCTATCCACGAATGAATAAAGAGTATCGGAAATGGTCACTATCTGAATAAATATTAAATATTTTTATTTTTCTTCTTAATTTTAAGAATATGTACATAACTCATTAGAGTAAAATTTTAACATCGTCTCGTGATACTATTAAGGCACATAAATGTGACACGGATGCCAGCTATGAGATAAAGCACCCTCCCGACTGCAGAGTTTCCACACTTTACGGGAAGTGCTATAAAATTAACGGTAAGTGCACTGTGCAAGATTGAGGATTGTATTGTAATCCCTAAAGCATTTATTTAATTTACTAGATAAATAAAAATACAAAGAAGTATAACTAAAAAAATGATAAATGATTAAAAACTATCAAATAATCCAAAAAAAGGTAAGATAGGGGAATATAGGAACCAAAAGTAGAGGAGCAAACACAAAGCAAATAATAAAACGGTACATCTAAATTCAGTCACATCAATAATGACATTAAGTTGTAATAGTCAAACCACTCGGATAAAATAGAGATTATCAGAAGAAATGAAACAAAAGCAATATCAATTATATGTTGCCTGAAAGAGACACACTTTATATACGAAGACTCAGGTTGGGTGAAAGTCAGCAGATGGAAAGAAGATACACCATGCAGACGGTAAGCATAAGAACGCTGGGATAACTTTATCAATATCAGATAAAATGCACTTCAAGTCAATAGTAATACCAGTAGAGTAATACATTTCATAATTATAAAAGGGAGAGTTCATCGAGAAGACATAGCAATTATCACTAGATATGCACTTCATAACAGAACCTCAAAATACATGAAGCAAAAATGGACGGAATTGAAGGAACAGACAATTTCAAAGTCAGAGCAGGAGATTTTAAGAGTCCTCTCTCAGCATTTGATAAAACTAAATAAAAACATCACTAATGACATGGTGAGTTTGAACAACAATAGCAAATATCTTGATTTAATTAATATCTGTAGAGCACTACACTTAACAACTGCAGAATAGACATTGTTTCAAGTGTGCATGGTATATTCACCAAGACATACCAGGCCATAAAAGATTTTTGTTTTTTTAAAAATAAATTTGAAATAATGGAACTCATACAAAGCATATTCTCTGATCATTGACATTAATTAGAAATCCAAAGCAATGTGCTATTAAGGGAAATATTTGACAATACACCTCTAAATAATCTATAGGTCAAAGAAGAAATCACAAGGGAAATCAAAAATACTTTAAACTGAATGATAACAAATATACAACATATTAAAATTTATCCCATAGTGCAAGTAGCCCATATTACAACTTATGAGATACAGATAAAGCAGTGATTAGAGGGAAACTTCGAGTTTTAAATGCTTATATTAGAAAAGGAGAAAGGTTTAAAATCATGACCTAAGATTCTACCTTAAGATTTTAAAAAAGTGTGCTCAAAGTAAGTAGAAGTTAAACAAAAATAAAGATTAGAGCAGAAATCTTTAAAGTAGAAAACAGACAAGTAGTAGAGAAAATTAACAAAGCCAAAAGCTGGTTCTTTTCAAAGATCAACAAAATTGACAAACTCCTAACCAGACTGATAAAGGAAAAAAAAGAATAAAATTTACCAATATCAGGAATAAAAAATGAGTTGTAGCTATATACCATGGACATTAAAAAGATAATAAGAGAATATAATTGAAAAATTTATGCCAATATATTTAACAGCTTCGATTCACTGAGAGAAAGCAGACATTAAAAAGTTAATAAGAGAATATCATTAACAAATTTGTGCCAATAAATTCAACAACTACGGTAAAGTGGACAAATGTTTTGAAAACTACAACTTACCAAAATAGAGAGAAGAAAAAACATAAAATCTGAATAGCATTACATTTGTGAAATAAATTGCATTGATTATTAAAAATCTCCCTCCTCCCCCCATATATGAAAATTTCTAAGCTCAGATGGTTTTATTAATGAATTCTATCAAAATGTTGTGATAGGAGTAAGCTGTTTTCCAAGTTCTCCATCAAATAACACATTCTACACATTATACCAGTTCTAAGTAAGAATTCTCAATTAATTTGTCTTTTAATATCACGGATCTTAATCCAACAAAGAGAAAAGTATATAGAGCTCTCCTATTATTAGAATCTGCCAATTTGAAGACTGTTAAAGTTCTCTAGACATTAAGCTGTTTTGACTTAGATTGAGCTGGATGAAAGCAATAGAAATGGAAATGAAAGAGAAAAATATGCAAAACATTTTGAACAAAATAAATTGGAAGAATGTGGTGATATGAAGAGAATAGAAATATGTGTTACTGTCTATCAAAGGGGTTGTTAGCCTGAGGTATTTAGACATGCTGTGGGAAATTTAACTTTTTTATGTGTGCAACTATGTCTGCAAATGTGCATTTTTTTTCTTGGGAGTGGGTCCATAGCATCCATCAGAATTCCTAAACAGAGCCAAGGCCTCCAAAATTTAAGCATCTCTAATCCAAAAGTTTAAAAATGTTAGGGTTCTGAGACCATGCATTAGAGTTAAAGTATACTGAAGTTGAAAAAGAAGTCTGAAAAAATGATAAGTTTAATTTTAGACAATCTGAATTTTGGAGGGTCCTGCTAAATAATAAATAATGTGCCTGAAAAGCAGTTCAGACCTGGTACTGGAGAAAGGCTGAGAGGTCAGGACTAGGACATTGATTTGGGGTATCATGTCTAAATAGGTAGCTACAAAATCTTTTTAGCAGAACTCCTAAAGAAGGAGAGATACATCGTCAGAGGAAAGGGAATTGAACAAGAAATAGGGATAAAAATTACATTACAAACAGCAAAAAAATGATATTAAAGAGGAGCTAGTAGAGGGAAAAATGTATTCTGTGCATCTAATATGAAGAAATCATTGACATCACTCATTTCCATACTTGTCTTTTTTGGTTAATAATTTTCAGGTTTTTCTACAGTTAGAAAGATTGAAGGCATGCATTCATTACATGCATTCAATCGTTTAATACATTTTTGATCGCCTACCATGCGAAAGACATTGCTTGCTGTTGGTATACAGTAGTGAAAAGGACAGTTACTATTCTCATGGTCATAACATATCAGTCGGGGAAATAAACTCAATTTTCCTGAGTATAAAATAAATCCCCCCCCCACG